TCGAGAATTGACTGTAAATGTCAAGCTCCACAAAATGAATTTTAAATAATATGAAAAAGGAACTGAACTTGATATTGGAAGAATAATTGCACTGAATAAGTAATTATTAAGATATCAATTAGTTACCACAGGGTTCCTTTCCTAGCTTAGCCAGGACACTGATTTCTCCTTTATAGATATGTAAGATTTTCCCATCAGCTGTTCCTGTGTAGAGATGATCTGTAACAACAAGTTAAGTACAGTATAGTAAATATTTAAAGCACATAACATTCCTAGTTGTTCACAGACTAAATCTGACATTACCAAAACTTGAATTAAATTTTCCAAACTTTCTTCCATTGTAACTCTTGATAGTTTCATTGTGCTTCTTACCCCCATCTGCTACAATTGACTCTGGTCCTAGTAATTCATTCTCAAATATCCTTTCTGATTTGTGCAACAAGTTGTTGGGTTCTAACACTCCTTCAAATGCTGGTGGGTCTGGCAATCTAATTTGCATACCAGTCAGTTTATCAAATCAATTCATGAATCACAAATATAAAATGTAAACTGATACAAATATATCAAGCATTATCATAAAAGATGTAACAAATGACTCAAGTTACATGCTTATTGATAGAAAAATGAATCCAATCCTTAATTCCTATGACCCAAAAAGCAATCCCAATACTATGACACAAAAGATCCAAGCTCAAAATGTACTTAAATTATTGCACAGAAACCAAATATTTATATATGGCAACAGAAGCCATAAACTTTGACCCAATAATCAACCCTAAAGGCAACCCCAGTCAACTTTTTTAAAACAGGGTTTAAAGAAATTTAAGTCTATCACAACCACAACATCCTAAAAACTTGTCGATGTGATCTAGCATGACTTTGAGATTTTCAACCCAAAATCAACACTAAACTTCCTTCTCTTGCTAAATATGACACTGTGTGCCAACCAGTACTCTTCAAACCATATCTTTTCTTCTTGCGCATTTTGACAAACCACACATCTTTTTTTTTTACGTATACTTGACGAGCAATCAGTTTTATTGGTGATGATCTTGACTTGGATATACTTATCAAAAGTAGACAAAGTAAAGGCACACATTACTTTATAGAAATAAGATCTTCTGAGGATAGAACACTTACTTAAAGTAGACAGGGTCTTGTCAGACCTGACATCCCGGTACTTATAAAAAGTAGCCAAGGTCTATTGGGGTCACGAGTCATACATATTTCAATTAGACAGTATCCTCTGTTATGATACACTTATTTAAAGACAACAGGGTCTATCAGTTATGAACTACTTAAAAAGGTAGAAAAATGTCTACTGGGAAGGCACACATACTTTAATAGGCTCTATCATTATGCCATACTTACGTGAAGAAGACAGGGTCAATTGGTGAGGGTGTCAAAATAATGACAACAGGGGTCAGAACAAAGGCTAGCAGTAATGCAACACAGGCAGCGGTCTTCCATCTGTTAAATATGAAAAATAGGTACATGACAAATTAAAATATCTTGGTGTGTAACTCTGTACTGCGTACAGTGTATATAATTTGCATGATTATTTGTGAAGATATAAAAAGGGGACTTATTGACATATTACATGTACTTGAAATGATGTTACACAAATAGAGATGGATTAAAAAAAAAAGACCCGTAAACTTTTTAAAGCTAAACATAAGATTTTCTGCTTCATATTGGTAGAAAACCATAATGAACAATGAACTATAAAAAAAAAAAACAAACAAACAAACTTGTCCGAGGAATGAGCTCTTGACTTTCTTTGTGTTCCCCCATATCGGTCATCTTCCTTTGAAATTGGACGACGCTGTCTAAGTTCTGGTCTATTCATCTTCTAAAAAGACTTTGTTATGATACAATAAACACATCCAGTGTTCTTCTGTATTCCTAAAAATAACAAGAAAAATTGGTCTGCAAAATATCAGCATTTTGGTCATAATCATCAGGGACATAAATACTAATGGGATAGGCAACTTCTTCAGTGCCATGTTTCCCTAAAACATCACACCCTTTATACAAGTTTTTTAAAACTATATTTATTGTATAAGTAAACCTTTTGTTTTTAATCAAAGAAGGCTGTTCATTTCGTTAATGGAGATGTGTTTTTAAAAATTTTAAAATATTTAATATACACCTAAAATATTTTAGGTGTATGATTTGTAAAGTTTGAAAACTACACAGTCATTAATTAATAATAGCAAACTAGGCAAATTAGAGAGATCAATGATCGAAAGCCTTAAAAATCATGGAGCCTTTTTTCAGGTTCCTCCTTTGTAAATGTGAATTAGGGATGCCAGTCAAACCACTCCCCTAAGAAAACCACCCTGGTCACTTGCTCCATAAATGTGGTCAAAGAGCCCCAAAGTTTGTGAAAGAGTTCCCTAGATTTGATCAAAGTGCCCCTGACATAATTTTATACAAATTTGTCATTACCAAACCATCCACAAATATTGGTCAAAGTTCCAAGAATTTGTGTCAAAGTGCCCCTAACATGTTTAAGGTGTAAAAAAAAAATACAGGTGATAGAGGGAGTTTGTTGACAAAAAATCATAGGATGTCAAACTTCAAAAGAAATTGATTGAAAAAATCCCCTGTAAGGACTAAGTCCATGTATCTTGTGTGTGTGTGTGGGGGGGGGGGGGGGGGGTGTGTTAATTTATACAGACGAACATCTCAATTATTTTTTCAACGACAAATTTTTCTTGCAATTCGTTTAACGAAAGAATCCACAATTTATTATAGAGGTAAATATGTACTCACACTATACTTTTATATAATAATATAAATTATATACATGTATGTAAATGGGATTTCTTTTCATTTTATGAGGCACTTTGACCAGAATTAGGCCAAAAAAAATAATAGTCTTGTTTCCTGCTACCGGCCTGAAAAAAATAGGGTAGGTAGGTAGGAAAATTATTTTATTTTTTTCCGACAGCATTTTTTGGATATGAACCAACACGAGATCAAATTAAACATGTCACAGGTCAACGTTGTCTTTTAAAATTAAATTTCATCTCTTTTTATGCACAACTCACGTGGTATTTTATGAAAGACCATATTTAAAACAAGAATTTCATGAAATGCTTGTTTTGTGTTAACACGGAAACCGATTACGGTGACAGAACAATGAAATTCCAGAAATTCCCGATTTTTTTTCTTCCAAAACTTAAAAAAAACTTTAGGGTCGGGGGCTAAAAAATAGGGTAGGCCGGGTAGCAGGAAACAAGACTATTATTTTTTTTGGCCTTAGGGGATGCTTTGATCAAAACTTGAGGAGGGATTTGCAAGAGTGAATTACATGTTTTCAGAGAAATGGAATTTTTTTCCCCCATATTTTCTACACAGGGCACTTTGACAAAAATTATCAAGCACTTTGACCAAAACTTGGATACATTTCTGTAAGATTATTTTTATAAATATTTTATTCTAAGTTACATTCACCACCAACATAGTGACTGTGGCAGGTTTTTAACAATTCAAAGGTCACCTTTCAGCTAGATCAAAACTGTTTTTAACATCCAGAGGCTCTGACCTTTAGACTCTAAAGAACTCACCAAGTCTGGCAGAACCAGCATTTGATGGCAGTCTAGACGAACTCCAAAAACAGCGTTTCCAGAAGTAAGAAATTGAGACTGAAAAAGACTCAAAAAATAGAGTCCACGCATGCGTACAAACACACAAACTGGCGATTTTTTGGCAAAAATAATGGGTCTACAAAAACTGTCCGTGCAAAGTTTTGGAAAGTATGGCAATTATGCCAGTACTCAGAAATGCTAAATAAAAGACTTCAGAATAGATCATATTTGTCAGATTTTTGATTTTATTTGGAAAAAAGGAGATATTTACTTTCAAAGTTGACATTTGAAGTCAGATCAATTACAGAGAAAATGATACGTTTGAGAGGTAATTATGCATAATAAAGGGGATATATATGCAAAATGGGACAATATATATTGTAAATGTTAAAAACTTGACTGAATTTTACACATAAATTAGCATTCCCATTTTTTTATTTGTGTAGGACATCTAAATTGAACACGTAAGTTCTTACCATTGTTATTTACCGATTTTTTATTACATACGAATGGATATTATTAAGAAAACATTTTTAAAACTATTATCTATCGATATGAAAACTTTAAAAACCATTCTTCTAAAAATTAAGGTCACAACATGTCTTCTAAAAATGAACCTGTGAATATCTCTGCTCCATGGTGAAAAATATGCATTTTCTGATTAAAATAAATACAAGCTGGGTGTCATCAAAAACAAATAAAAGCACCTTTATTGTAGGAACGACATAAAATTTAAATCAAGAAGACAATAAATCAAATAAGAAAATAATTCTCACCGTCAGTATTGAATTCGATGTCGTATATCCAGTTTACTATTATACAAGAGTTTGAAGCGATAAATAAGTCAATATCCACATATAATTTAATAAATCTAATTATCCATTCACCAAAATTTAAAATAAAGTCTCAATGCACTAAATACAGCCATTATGCAGCCGTATATTTGGAGAAAGCGAAAGGCAATCCATCGTTTGTTTACATCAGACGCCATTTTGCCGCAATGCATGATGGAGCCAAAGACTTTGTTTTCGGAGTTCACGCCGTTTTTGGAGTTCGTCTAGACTGGATGGTGCCAGCCAATAAGTGGTAGAAACAAACCTCCAAATTACCACTGATTACAGTCGATATATACATGTATCAATAAAATGTTATTATATGCTCTACATAAGCAGGATCTAATATCAGGGACCTATGTTATGTTGGTACATGTATATAGGTCCCTGCTAATATGTATTACGTCCCTGATGCTGCTATGTTTTGCTAACTTTACTTTGGCTCTTCAAATAATATGGAAGTATGTTAAGACTAAGCTATTAAAAAATTCTATATTTCTATACCTGATATAACAAAAATAAATGATTTTCGTTATTTATAAAGAACTTCAAATACCAAAGTACTTGAAAACGACGGATCCAGACTCACTCACTCAGGAGCAAAATGTATACCGGAAATTCACACTTTATTTTAAAATTAAAATTGTTTCGCAAGGAGTATACAACTCCGGAAAGAATAAATCGAAAAAAACCCCACCCAGTTTGTTTGTTTATTGTTTAACGTCCCTCTCGAGAATTTTTCACTCATATGGAGACGCCACCACTTGCCGGTGGAGAGCTACAAATTTTGACCTATACTCGGCACTGAGGGCCATTGAGCAGTGAGGGATCTTTTTCGTGCCAGCACCTACTGCGACACAGGACCTCGGTTTATACGGTCTCATCAGAAGGACCGGTCTCCACGTCCCACAGTGGGACGTAAGGATCAACTCCTTACTCCGCGACTCTAGAGCGAACGCTCTAACCACTGCACCACGCGGGCGACTGGAAGTCACTCACAAAATTCCCCAATCTAAGTGTTACATCAAGGTACTACTGTGGTAAAGATATACAGTTTAAGGTATGGAATACGATAACCTGATGAGTATGTAATGTTCCCGGTCCGAATGCCCGAGGGGGGGGGGGGGACCTCACTTGATGTCAGAATGTCTTGATGAATAAGAATGCCATCTATATTGCAACTGATCACATTTGAACAACGTAGACAACGCAGGCTGAGGAAAGCTACGCACTCAAGACTGATTTAAGGACCCTCTCTACACTAAATGAATTTTTTTTTACATTGAGAAAATTATATTGTATAAAGGTTGTAAATATTGAGCTTATTTATATCGTTTTCAACATTGGTTGGCTGGCTTTTACCCCCAGGAGAAATGTTCAAAGGCAACAAAGTTTTGATGAACAGAAATCACTGTTGTTTACATAAGTTGGGAAAAAGCATGCAGATGAGGTGTTCAATTAATTTATCATGGCCTATCAAAATGTTAAGAATGCTTGAATTGATTAGAAATTGATTGATAAACTGTAGATTTCAATTTATTTCATTTTAGATCTAAGGGCAGATTACTCTAACTTCATAAAAATACCACAGAATCAGAACTCTTTAGTGCGCAGTGTATAGAGGGTTCTTAAAGTGAACTCAGTGAAAGTGCAATTAGCGGTAATAGAGTAGTGCGAGGCAATTAATGTCAGAAGTTTTGAGGTACATGTAGGTATCTTAATATTTTTTTTCAGGTCTTAAATGTCTTAAACTTTACTAATGTCCCTTCGGTCAAGGTCAAACTTCAAGACCATTTAAAAAAAAAAAAGGCTTATAATAGCAATTCCTCAAACGTTTCCAATGACCTTGACCATTGACCGTGACCCAATTCTCATTTTCAAATGTCAACAGTTCCATTACAAGTGCTCTAAAGTTTCTACAACTCTTCGTGTAGAAGTTTTAGGCTGTAACTAAGAAAACTGAAAACAAGAGGAAGATGGATGATAGGCATCAAATACAGAGTGCGGTCTGTCAGCTAACATCCGCAACTGTACTCGGCAGTGCTGGTACCGGACATCCATGACTGTACCTGCTCACTAATATCAAAAACGGAATGTCAGAGCAAGATTTTCCGGATTGTTCAACATATTAAACTATATGTTGTTAATTAAGTGTGGATTGTTTTTTAATGAAAAATACGAAATGTGTTAATATGGAGGAAAGAAAATTTCTGATTTTAAATAAATCTACTTTATGGAAGGCTGTAATCGCCAAAACGGTAACGATAACTGGCTTAGTGAATATATCGCGGAAAATATAGCCTAAGTATGTAAACTTGACTATGCCTATATTTTGTATATCTATGACTGTATCCTCTGCCTGGTATGCAACATCTGCGACTGTACCTGTGCCGTACATACACGCTACCACTGGCTCAACCCGCGCTTGATTAATAACATCCACAACAAAAAATTCTGTCGATTTTCTCCGATTTAGATTTAAACTGAATTCAATCAAAGCGCAATTAACGCTAATTTTTATATTACCCATGACAGTGATACCGAGACAAACGATGTCAGCAGTGATTAGGAAAAGATCCAAAACTTTTACAGATTTAAATTTAAAGCTTTATATTCAGAGAACAATATGAACCAGGTCTTTATTTATTTTTTTGGGGGGGGGGGGGGGGGGGGTAGGGGCTGGGGGCATGATTTCAATATCCTACGTGCTCAATAATAATGATGAATTTAAAAATGAAACATGCTAGTATAATTATAGAAAATATACGAGTAAATAATAAACAAAGTAAAATAAAAAAAGGAAATTAAAATAAATATCGGAATTAATTTGTAATCCTTAATTTTATGTTAGAAAGTATAAGTACGTCACAATATTATTAATTTCACCCATTTCATTGATCACGCAAGTGGTGTCAATGAAAAACACAGGTTTTATTTCCCATAAATATACATTTGTATGTCTTACGATATATACGGGTGGAATGGGCTGATCCACCCGTTTTCAATGTGTTATATATAAACATCTCAAGTGCACCCCAGGAAGTAGCCTCCTATGCCCTGAAAAAGAATAGTTCCTGACAAAACACCTTTATTTATTTACAAAGTACATAAAATTTACTAGGCACGGGCATCAAAGTTGTAAAAATAGGCTGGAAGAACACCCCTCCCCCCAAAAAAAAAATTCTCAAAAGAAATAAAAATTAATTTTATATGCATGGAACAATTAACATCTTGACTGGTCGATAACCGTGGTGTGATACCTGAAATATGTAGGGTATGGTATTAAAATAATTGATCATATTAAAGGAAATTTATGCTAAAATTATCGATAACATCCGAAGAAAATATTTGTATAAGTAAATATTTTTATTAGATCCACCTCTCTAAGATTCTGCTGTACTGTCCAGACAACTCTAGAAATTTTACACCATGACTGTACCGGTGTCTGATTGACAACATCCACGACTGTACCTGTCCAGTACACACACTTTATTCTACATCCCTGACTGTACCTGTGCAGTATACACATCTAACTCTACATTCATGACTGTACCTGTGCCTTATAAACAACATCCATACTGTACCTGTGCCTTATAAACAACATCCATGACTGCACCTGTGCCTTATAAACAACATCCACGACTGTACCTGTGCAGTACACACACTTTATTCTACATCCAACACTGTACTTGTGCCTTATAAACAACATCCCTGACTGTACCTGTGCAGTATACACATCTAACTCTACATCCCTGACTGTACCTGTGCCTTATAAACAACATCCACGACTGTACCTGTCCAGTACACACACTTTATTCTACATCCATGACTGTACCTGTGCCTTATAAACAACATCCACGACTGTACCTGTGCATATATACATACTTTATTCTACATCCCTGACTGTACCTGTGTCTTATAAACAACATCCACGACTGTACCTGTGCATATATACATACTTTATTCTACATCCCTGACTGTACCTGCGCCTTATAAACAACATCCACGACTGTACCTGTGCCTTATAAACAACATCCATGACTGTACCTGTGCCTTATAAACAACATCCATGACTGTACCTGTGCCTTATAAACAACATCCACGACTTTACCTGTGCAGTACACACACTTTATTCTACATCCAACACTGTACTTGTATAAACAACATCCCTGATTGTACCTGTGCAGTATACACATCTAACTCTACATCCCTGACTGTACCTGTGCCTTATAAACAACATCCACAACTGTACCTGTCCAGTACACACACTTTATTCTACATCCATGACTGTACCTGTGCCTTATAAACAACATCCACGACTGTACCTGTGCATATATACGTACTTTATTCTACATCCCTGACTGTACCTGTGCCTTATAAACAACATCCACGATTGTATCTGTCCAGTACACACACTTTATTCTACATCCATGACTGTACCTGTGCCTTATAAACAACATCCCTGACTGTACCTGTGCAGTATACACATCTTACTCTACATCCATGACTATACCTGTGCCTTATAAACAACATCCACGACTGTACCTGTCCAATACACACAATTTTTTCTACATCCATGACTGTACCTGTGCCTTATAAACAACATCCACGACTGTACCTGTCCAGTACACACACTTTATTCTACATCCATGACTGTACCTGTGCCTTATAAACAACATCCACGACTGTACCTGTCCAGTACACACACTTTATTCTACATCCATGACTGTACCTGCGCCTTATAAACAACATCTCTGACTGTACCTATGCAGTATACACATTTTACTCTACATCCTTGACTGTACCCGTGCCTTATAAATAAGATCCACAACTGTACCTGTCCAGTACACACACTTTATATTACATCCATGACTGTACTTGTGCCTTATAAACAACATCCCTGACTGTACCTGTGCAGTACACACACTTTATTCTACATCCATGACTGCACCTGTGCCTTATGAACAACATCCACGACTGTACCTGTGCATATAACATACTTTATTCTACATCCCTGACTGTACCTGTGCCTTATAAACAACATTCACGACTGTACCTGTTCAGTACACACACTTTATTCTACATCCATGACTGTACTTGTGCCTTATAAACAACATCCACGACTGTACCTGTGCAGTACACACACTTTATTCTACATCCATGACTGTACCTGTGCCTTATAAACAACATCCACAACTGTACCTGTGTATGACACACACTACATCTATGACTGTACCTATGCCTTATAATCAAGATTTACACACAATAAACTTCTCAGGGTTTAAGAGGTACGTATTGTATACTGTATTTGGACCATCCTACCATAAAAAACAATATTTAAACAATTTTATTTCACTCACAAATTTTGATCTTTAAGTGTGTCATTGACTCTTAAAATTTGACCATGAAAATCAATTAGAATCAAGTTCAAGACACGAATAATCATGAGTGTACAGGTGGAAAACTCAAAGCTATAAGTCAACTCATAGCCAATTACTATTATTAATTTTAATTAATTTTAATAAACATTTGTCGTATACGTTTGACGTATAATCAGTTGTAAACTATGAT